AGTTAATGTCATGTTTGTAATGTCTGTAGTGTAGTGCTGAAAATTCTGAAATGTTTTTTGTTCGTTGCGTTTTTATTTTAGCACTTCAGTGTTTCAGTTGTTCTGTCTTTACAATAAAAGTCGTGAACGTTTGTGATTTAAACTTTATTTGATAGAACTCTCCTTTCAGAGCGAGTTATTTATATGACTGAAACTTTGCAGGGTTGCAACAATCACATTATTATTTCAGTCTTTACATATTCACAGTTTGAACAGTCTGAACAAAGCACATCTGACAGGACTTTATGAAGGGCATGCAAGGTGAGAGTAGAAAGGGGAGAAATCGCAGAAGATTTCTTTCTTGGATGGGGATAATTCACTCAGTTCAGTCAGTGTGGTCTGTTCAGGGGAATCAGTACAGCCAAATTTTGTGCTTAGTACAGATAATCTCAGTATAGGCTTAAAAGACTGTTCAGTACAAAACAAAGAGTGATTTAGAAAAAGAATACATTTTGGTTTGACTGCATATTGGCAACACAGTGCGTCTTTGTACAATTATGGTGCAGCCATTATTTAATCAGTAACAATATTTAGGCTAGAACAATTCCTGGAAACCACTTAAATATTATATGACCAACACATATCAACATTTTTATTACAATTATGTTTTTTAAAAAGACTGGCCTCCATACGTTTCCCAAGAAATGAGGTATGAATTATAAATCAGTGGTGACATTAGGGCAATGACAAAAACGAAGGGGGTTGTCTTCTATTTTGTTGCAAAGAGGTAGTTTTGAAGGTTTCTGCTACATGTGTGCAAACAATAGAGCACCTCCCCACAATAATTATTTTGGCATTATCTTTAACAAGCCTTTTATGGCCTGAAATATGAGGTATGTATAACATGTTAAACATGCATGGATGAATTGGACATGGAGTTTTTTTTTGTCACAGTTTGGATCTGAAACTGAGTCACATCTCTTCAATGACAATTTCCTTATTAGGCATGATGTCAAATTGCTTGCTTAGGGCTTTGTACGTTTTGGCAGTGAACCCCCTAATCAGTCACACCAAATCTCACACAGTCAAATGGAAAAAGGACACATATTCTCTATGCTGCTACATTTGTTTACATCAACTAAAATGGCAGCGCTGTAACCTTATGGGCAATAAAATTGGTTTGTCTTTGAAACAGATGGAGTATTCCAAATCTGTATTTTTCATCCATGTTTGAGGTTTATATAGACACACTGGTACATGTTGAGCCACTTTGTAGTGAAGCAGTACTTAGAGCACTTCTGGTATGACGAGTTAATTAAAACACTGGTGGTGATTTAAACCATACTTGTATGCATAACATTTCCCACAATCCACACAGCTGTAAGGTTTTTCCCCAGTATGGGTTCGAAGATGTATATTCAGAGAGCTTTTCTGGGAAAAACTTTTGCCACAGTCTGGACAGCTGTACGGCTTTTCCCCCGAGTGCACACGCTGGTGTAATTTCAGGTACGTTTTCTGAGCAAACCGCTTCCCGCACACAGAGCAGCTGAACGGCTTCTCACCCGAGTGTCGCCTAATGTGGACTTTTAAACTGCTCAAATAGTTGAATATTTTCCCGCAGAATAAACACTCAAAGTTCTTCGTTGGCCTCACAGGTCTTGGCTGAATGATGTTTTCTTTGGTTGCATTCATGTGGGTATTGTTTGTATAGTCTGAGTATTCTGCGATGGCTGAAGGAGGATTTGTGTTGTCAACCATTGTGCTCATTGTTGCATCTTCTATCAACTTGTCCATAATTGATGGCTGAGTGCGTTGCTGTATTTGACTATCAGATGTCATGGGGAAGCTGTTGAGGTCCCCTGAGTGAAGCTGCAGTTCATCAACAGATCGATGAAGCATGCTGTCCTCCTCAAACATCCCAACAACTGTCAAATGAGAATAAATGAGGTTAAAACATTGGCACTATCAGAACANCAAATCAAAGCTATTATGAATTTATTTTTAAAAATAAAATATTGTCCTGAAGCTGTACAGATTGTGCAGCAACGTGCAAATGATTTCCCTTGAAATGTGCTAAATCTCACAGCCTGCAGTGTAAACAGCTTGGAATGTGCAAAAGGATGATAGTAATGATGAGAAAAAGAAGCAGATGTAAACTGGGACTATTGCAAATTGCTATTAACAATATAAACATCAAGATTAAAGAAGAAGAAAAAGCTGATGGAACAGCATTAACTTCTAGGAATGACTTAGCTGAGGTGGTTGTGCTCTCCACTAGCTAACAGCCCTCTGTACCACCACCAACAGTGACATTATGCTGGATGAGGAGCCCACAGAGGAGCGTCCGTCCATCTCTGACCTGCGGGGAGCCGGCGGCTCACACCGTTGTTGACGTGCCCTGGGTAAGTCTGCGCCTCCCTCGCTGCTCTCAGCTGGACCTCCAACGAGTAGCACCTCTTCTTCAGCGCCTCGTTCTCCGTCTTGTGCAGCGATATCTCGGTGTGAAGGACGGAGGAACATTCATCTGCCAGGTTGCCTATTTCAACCAAGGCCGCTTTTGTTAGCTTGTCCAGGATCGCGGCTAACTGCGCCCGAAAACTTCGGTTTGCGGTGTCGCACATCATGTCGCCAGAAAAGCTCTATCTTTTGAAATTTGGCAGGATTCCCAGCGTAGCAGCGGTGCTCCTTTAATCAAATATGTGCAATAACTGAGCCGCAAGGAATTGTGGGAAAANTCAGACAGATGATAACATGGCTGAATTGGGAAAGGCTAAATCCAGATGGTTTGTGATTCACTGACCTGTGTTCCCATGTTTGTCATAGCAGCAGTCTCCACTGGCTCTCTTCTCTGAGGGGGCAGTTTCTCTTCTCTCCACAGATCCATGCACCAGTCTTTTCCAAAAACTCCCTCAATGGCTGGAGCAAGCTGGTGTTGTTCTGAATCAGAAGCAGAAACCTTTGAAGTCAGTTTTTACGTACAAGAAATTTGACTAAATGCTTTGAGCACAATGACAAGTAGAACATTTAACCTTATTCAGAACTTTTATGTTGACCCCCAAAGTCCTGAATAGGGTTAAAGGAGGATTAAAGTTGTTGTTGTTGTTGTTTTGTTTGTTTGTTTTTTAATGCTAGAGTTGCAAATAAAACAAACAGCAATTGGTACAAGACAAACAAGATGCAAGTGTAACAAATCAAAGCTATTATGAATTTATTTTTAAAAATAAAATATTGTCCTGAAGCTGTACAGATTGTGCAGCAACGTGCAAATGATTTCCCTTGAAATGTGCTAAATCTCACAGCCTGCAGTGTAAACAGCTTGGAATGTGCAAAAGGATGATAGTAATGATGAGAAAAAGAAGCAGATGTAAACTGGGACTATTGCAAATTGCTATTAACAATATAAACATCAAGATTAAAGAAGAAGAAAAAGCTGATGGAACAGCATTAACTTCTAGGAATGACTTAGCTGAGGTGGTTGTGCTCTCCACTAGCTAACAGCCCTCTGTACCACCACCAACAGTGACATTATGCTGGATGAGGAGCCCACAGAGGAGCGTCCGTCCATCTCTGACCTGCGGGGAGCCGGCGGCTCACACCGTTGTTGACGTGCCCTGGGTAAGTCTGCGCCTCCCTCGCTGCTCTCAGCTGGACCTCCAACGAGTAGCACCTCTTCTTCAGCGCCTCGTTCTCCGTCTTGTGCAGCGATATCTCGGTGTGAAGGACGGAGGAACATTCATCTGCCAGGTTGCCTATTTCAACCAAGGCCGCTTTTGTTAGCTTGTCCAGGATCGCGGCTAACTGCGCCCGAAAACTTCGGTTTGCGGTGTCGCACATCATGTCGCCAGAAAAGCTCTATCTTTTGAAATTTGGCAGGATTCCCAGCGTAGCAGCGGTGCTCCTTTAATCAAATATGTGCAATAACTGAGCCGCAAGGAATTGTGGGAAAACGAGATGCTCGCGCAACCACCGTTTACGATGAGCACGTGAACGCAACACAGTATGTGAAAGCTGAGCAGGGTTTCTGAGAAAGTGAGGCATTAAAAACAGCTTTTGTCAACAAGAGTCACTTACAGAGACAATTTTACAGGCTATTATTGTTGTTTATGTATGAATAAAGCAATTTATTTGATAATATGCACGGTTATCAACCCTGTACCACGTATTGCATTCAGTTAACAGCCTTATTATGGTAACTGCATTCATTAATTTACATACAGCAGACAGGATAGGACCAAACTCAGTCGATTTCTGTTTGATTGTGTCACTTGTTAAGTGGGGCGACATCTTTCCAGTCTAATGTATTTAGAAACATGAAGGTACCGTGAAAAACTGCAAAAATTGCTTTTTTTTATCAATGCAGAATTAGTAGCAACATAATTGGGATCATAATATCTGATTAATGATTAATGATTAACGGTGTGATTAATACAAATCATTTACTAAACATCATATAGAATTACTGCCCTCAAGTGGTACGAATGAGGAACTGCAATATTTTACTAACAATAACATATAAAATTTAAAATAATATAACTCTATATTTTAAATTGCTTTAACAAAACATACCATGACTCAAGATTTGTCTTTCAAGTCATATGTTTCAAGTTTTAGTTTTAGTAATAAGTCTGAAGTAGTCGAAAGACAGGGCAAAAACAGGTTCTAAACACTGTCTATATCCCACAATATCTTTGGCTAAGATTTACTGATACTCCCTTGAAAAGATGTAGTAGACGTCTCTCTTGCCACAGTGCTTCCAGTAAGGATTTATCCTTCGCTGATTCCTAAGCAGTACCTTGCCTAATTGCACTTTTACAGTAATTGCTGAGATTTTTAAGCCTCTACATTCCTCTTGCTTGGTAATATTGACAACAATCTACAAGATAAGAAACTGATTTATGACTAGTTCAGTTTTTATGGTCAAATTATAAAAAAGGTCAGCAAAAAAAAAAAAAAGAAAAGTACCAAGATATATTTTCTTCATATTTGAGCATTTGGATGGTAAAAGCTGACACACACTCAAATCTGGAACAAATAGAACTTTATTTTCCACAAAGCATTTGAATTAAACAGCAGGAAAAGTTGTATTTTGTGGTGGTTTGGAATTTAAGTGGTTCCATTTATGAATTTCCCACTAAATGTCGGTGTACTGGACTCACTACCATACGGTAGTGAGTTCAAACTAGGATCTAGATGTACTGCAAGGTGTTTTTTCAGATTACAGTTCTTTGTAAAACCTTTGCCGCATTTAATACAAACAAATGGTTTCTCCCCAGTGTGCGTGCGCTGATGCATATCGAGGGTGCATTTCTGAATAAAGCCCTTTCCACAAATAGGACAGCGATATGGCTTCTCCCCAGTGTGCGTGCGCTGATGTGTATAAAGGTGCCCTTTCTGTGCATATCGCTTTCCACACAGCGTGCACCTGAACGGTTTCTCACCTGTGTGACTTCTCTGGTGTATTTCAAGCTGACTAAAGCATCTGAAGCTCTTGCCGCATTGCAAACAGCCAAACCTTTTAGCAGCTGAGTTCCTCAAGTTGTGAAACTTCATATTCCTGAGTACACTAAAGCTTTGGGAGGCTACATTTTGACCCAAGCTTTTGCCAGCTTCTAAGTTTGTGTGTGCAGCTGTAAGCTGTGGATTCCAGTGTGTTTCCCTCCGCCCTGGTTCAGCGAGAGACAGCTGGGTGTTCAAAGTCACAAAGCTATCAGTGAACAGAGGCTGCTGGTGTTCTGCGATGGGTTTGGGATGCTGCATCACATCTTGACTCATCTGGGTGTCTGTGACTGCTTCCCTTCCTGCTGACGGCAGAGAAACATGTTAAAATTGAAAACTGACCTTGATAGGGACTCCAAGCTGAATTAATTGATCTCAAAATAAAGTTGTTCTTTATAGTAGTGTGTGGTGTTGCTGGAGTTATGATCCTTAAAGAGCAGAAGTTATGATGAGCATGAAGGTAACTTAGCAATAGTTGTCTAACAAAAAGAAAATCTCCTTGTGGTTACTCAAGATCCACGTAATGATGTCGTGGCTCAGAAATTGTATGTAAACATATGTACATTGCTGTTCAACCAAATGTAATACTTACTGTCTTCACTTGTCCGAGCTTGTTCAGTGTTTCTGTTATCAACCTCTGGCTGCTCTTCCTTTACCACTATCAGTTCAGGCTGCTCTCTCGGTGGGTTTGGAAGCTAATAAGGAAAGAAATTTATATAAATTGCACCTGTTATAAATGCAGGATAAGGTGCAACATAATTACACTATAATTGTATGATACTTTATTTAAATTGGAAAAATATTTGAGGACTAGCACTTATTTATAACAGTTAAATATGAATTAAAAGGATGCAACAGATAAAAAGACGTAAAACAAAACTAATAACAAGATTCAAATACAGTTAAGTGATTATGAGTAACAGTTTCAAATGACCTAAAGAACAAAAATAACAAAAGATATATTGTAAAAAATAAAATAAAAAAACAATCAAATAAAAATAGCACACTATAAAATCCAGACATGAGAGAGGAATCAATTGAAACGGTCACAAACACAAACTCAATGATTGGTAATAAATTTAAAATGAAATTATACACTCAAATTGACCAAGCTTAGTGCAGACTTACTTCAGCTGCAGTATGCTCTTCACCTTGATGCAAGCTACTCATCTCAGTGGAGCAACTTCTACTTTCCCATGGGCTTTCACTAGGGATGCAACACACTAAGATTAAATACACCAGAAAGGGCAAAGACAGTAAAGGTTGTGATGTAGATGAATTTATGATGCCAGCACAACACAGACCACATCTATCAACAAGGTGCACACACCTTTTTATTGCAGGTCTTGTCCTGTCAGGCTCCAGTAGAGCGTTTTCTGAAGTGTCCCTCACCAGGGAACATGCTGATGCTGCGTCCTGCCTGCCTCCTTGTGCGATATAAAGCAGTTTCTCCATCAGCTGCAGTTTCTCTGATAGCGAGGCGATTTCGTTACGCCCTCGAGTTATCTCTATTTTCAGCATCTTCGACTCGATCTCGACCAGTTTGCTTATTTCTATCACAGCTGTTTTGGATAACGCGTCCATGATGGAGACGAGCTGTGCTTGGAAAGAAAAGACTGTCGACATGATTGTTTTTTCTCCTTTTTTTTTTTGGTTTGAGACACACGAGATGCACCCAGATAAGTTGTTGCAGCCAAGGAGTCTTTGTGATCACTGGCAGATATAGTTGCAAGAAAGCACACTAGAGGAGGTGTGTAAGCATGCCTACAACATACGCAAGAGTGCCCCTTCAAAAGTCGAGTAGCATGTAGCAAAACTCAAGTGGTTGTGATGGACGCAGTGTTTCCATCTGACGGCCAGGAGGAAACACTGCAGTCATGCGCACAATATCGAGGTTTAATACTCATAAATATTCATCTGTTTACATTAAAAAAAATGTTCGAAGTTGTGTGAAAGTCCCCAAAATTTCTGCGGTGACTTTCTTTCTGTATCCTTTCTTAAAAAATTTCAACCGGATAAGCTAACCTTTTCAGGTCGTTGTTGCTACTTGGTCGAAGACTACCTTGACCAGCATGCAGTGCGGTCCAAGCCAGAAGGTGATTGGCTGGTGAAAGCGCGTTTCAGGAAGTAGTGTGTTGTATTATATTTGCCGACTGAAAATCCTCATGACAATCTGCTGTCGAGATCCCAACTGCTAGGAAGGTAACTATCGGAAAATTGTACTGTTGAAGTCCACGAATCTGCACAGTTCAAAATGTCAAGAAGTAAGCGTAATTTCTGCTCCATAGTCTACCTTTTTATAGTCTTCCAAAAGTTGCTAGTGTTTCATCCTGTTGTGGTTAGCAGCTTAGTCTCCAGTCCTCAATCTGAACTGTGCAACTGCAGGAGCATTTTATTGAATTTAGTTTACATAGTTTAAACGAATGATTTTTCATGTATCAGCATAATAAGATTGTATAATTGATATTTGAATATTCAATCAGCTGAATATTTGCAGTCATCATGATGACTTGCAAAAATGTTTTGTAATTGACTTCCTCATGTATTGCTTAATTCTTTTGTCTTCTACCTTGTCAGTCACACAGTGCCCTCATGGCTGGAAGAAGAGTTGTTGTGTTCCCCTCTTCAACAGAGCTCGGCCCAGTGCTGGTCCACCTGGTGACGTCCCGGGCTGAGAAGGCAATCGCTTCTCATGGCAGGTTCACCCTGGGACTCTCAGGTGGAAGCTTGGTGTCCATGCTCAGCAAAGAGCTGCTCGCCCTGCCAGAGCTGGACTGCAGCAAGTGGGTGGTTGGCTTCTGCGACGAGCGACTGGTTTCCTTCGATGATCCAGAGAGCACCTATGGGCTGTATAAGGTATCCTTGCAGCAGTGTTTGCAATAATGCACGTCATTTTAATATGGAACAAAAATATAAACGCACCATGTAATTTTACATGGAAGTTCTATGCATTCTTTTTTACATAGGTGAATAAGTGTTTGCTCTGTACAACACAATAAACATCATGAGGCAACCGAGTATGCACCATATTGGAAATGTTAATGGGCAGATGGAGAGTTGGGTCATAGACACAGAAATCAAGTCAGTAATGAGTCCCACATTTTCAAAGCATAGAGTTAATGAGGTTGTCTCTTCTTGAAGGGCTTGGCTGACATTTTCATCACATTCATACACACTCCCATCCAGAGCATCATGTGACAGATTGCCACGCCATGGTGGTAGTGGCTCAGTGGTTAAGGCTACTTTGGGCGACTGATTAGAAGGATGGAGGGTCAAGCCCCAGAACCTCAGCAAGACCCTTTACCCTATCTGCTCCACGGACACCTTAGTATGGCTGATCCTATTCCCTGACCCCAACTTCCTTGAATATGCAAAAAGAGGATTTCCCCTTGTATATAATATATTTTTTTAAAGTTGTTTGACTGGCATTGTGGACTTTGTACCAGTCATTCCAGCAACCAACGGCCCACACTCATCTTTCCCTTGTCATCTGGGGCATCGTGTCATCTGAATACAGCTGGCATTGCAAAGTGACTTTTTATAGTCACTGCTTAAAGTAGCATCTGTGCATGAATTACAGTATCTGATCATTGTCCTCTAAAGTTAACCCTGACTAGAGTGGTGATCAATTTAACGGTTAAGAATTTGTCACCAGCTGAACAGATAAATGAAACCGTTTTCTAAACAAAACAATAGAAATTAAATTTTAAAATGTTTTTCAAAGTCAGAAATGAAGCTGCATTTTCTATTTTTGTCTAGTGTATTATTTGGCTAACGTACAGCGCTTTTCTACTTCGCCAGAGTCAGCTGTTTTCCAAAGTCAACATTCCTGATAGTGGGATCCTAACCATCGACCCCTCTCTGCCAGTGAACGAGTGTGCTGAGGATTATTCTCGCAAACTGAAAGAGGTATAGTACAATCACAGGCTTTTAGATTTTAGTACTTGTGGAAATTTTACAATATTGTTTTGCTACTTTCAAACACACAGACCTTCCCAGATGATGATTTCCCTGCATTTGACCTGTTACTGTTGGGTATGGGGCCGGATGGACACACTTGCTCACTCTTCCCGGACCACCCTCTTCTGGAGGTGAGGGTGAATTTGTCTCTTCTACAATACATTTCTGCCTGTAGGACTGTTGAATTCTTATGAAAAAGCACAAGTGTTCCCAGAAAAGCTATAATCCTATGTCTGAAAATGTTTCTTGTTTCTTTGAAAAGCACATGTTTCTTTTATTTTGTACCGGCGTTGTATCATTATGATCCTAAAAACATGATTCCATGTCTGGATGTTGAATCACATTCAACAATGGTAGTAATTTAGGAACGTCTATGAATTTGCCACTGGTCATTAAGTTGTGGGGTTTTGGGCATTCTGCAAATGTTTCTTTAAACATCACTTTTCCACTGGCGTATAAAACGCATTATTTAATTTAATTCTGACAAGGCTACTATTTAAAGAGACATGTCTGAGCTCGGATGTGGTTTCCTGATTTGCTAGTTTCAACAGACAATGTGTGTTTCTGTCCTTCTCATTTATTTCTTTTGACTATGTTTGGATGATTGATGGGTTTTAATTTAGGTTCAACTTTCATTTTACAGTCTTCACTGTTGTCCCTTGTTGCATGTCTGTGAGAAAATCCGCCTCATGTAACATTTTATATTTGAAAGTTCGTTTGAAAGTATAGTCTTTGGTTGTGGTTCTCACCTTGGCACTTTTTGGTGTTAAGATAAATGATTCAGTGTGGGTGTACCCCATATTCAGGAAACCAAGAAGACTGTGGCCCCAATCAGTGACTCTCCCAAACCACCGCCACAGCGTGTGACGATGACTCTCCCAGTGGTGAACTCTGCACGATGTGTGGCTTTTGTATCAACAGGAGGAAGTAAAGCAACCGTTTTGAAGGTAATGTTTATGGACTTTTCACAAAAGATGCACACCCCAATTTCAGAATCTAAAAACCCTGCTATTTTCACAACACAATGAATCAGCTTAGACTAGGTGCACACTCGAAAACCATGACATATAAGACAAAGATGAAACGGAACAAGGAAAAATGTCATAGAACACTTTGGGTTCAATCACTTGGTTCAGTAGTTATTGTTAAAGTTGAAATGGGATCAGTAGAAACCAAACAGAAGACTAAAATATAACCCAAAGACGTGAAGAAAAACAGACTAATATGAGCACAAATGTATGCTTCTTTTCATTTACAGTTGACTAAAAGCAATGTGTAGACAGTCAGTCACCCAGGTCATGATAACACTGTGTGCTAAAGGAGGTAGGAACTGGATTTTTTTTTTAATTAGAAGTCCAGCTGCCTTCTATTTCAACACATAGGACTAAAAACAATGAAATCATTTATAGATCAGCACCTTTATGACCCGCTGGCCCAGGAGAAATACAGCTCATATTGCTGAGTTACGTAACATTGCTATTGTGTTCTAACACAGTGACCATTTTCTTGCAGGAAGTGTTGGAGGGGAGAGAGGGTTCAGCATTTCCAGCAGCCCGTGTCGTCCCAACCAGGGGCGAGCTGTTCTGGCTTGTCGATGACCCTGCAGCTGCCTCCTTAACTATCCAGGTAGAGAGGCCGAGCTCAGGCGCCAGACTGTAGAGCTGCTGGCCTAATAAAGGCAGGAGGTCAACACTGAGTGAAAACCTGAATGAAGACACTGGAAAGTAGTGCAGAACATTCCTATGTAGGTCAGATAGTGGGTTATGATACAGAGATGAACCCCCCCAAAAAAATGTAAGGACAACTTTGTGATAAGGCACTTATTGTAATTTTGTTTGTGTGAGATCAAGTAAGGTTTTAAGAGAACTTCCACTTGAAACATGTTTACTGTGCAGAATAATACATGTGCAGTTTGACACTAGAAGCTCATCCTTATTAAGTGCAGCAAGTGAAGTGAGAGAACAGGAAACATGCAGCTTACAAACAGTGAGAATGAACTTTTTAATGAAACCATGTTGCATCCAGCATCTGTGTGTGCGGTGTGTAAAGAAAGTATTTCTCTATGTCTTAAAATATAACTGGAGGGGACCTTTCATTTTTGATTTTCTTGGATGTGAAGTCAAGTAAGTTCAATTAACCTGACCAAGTTACTTCATCAATATATAGTTTTTTTAAAAAGCCATGTATTTTCTTGTTCTCTGATCTGAACCTTCACATCCTTTATAAAATATCAAATAAAGTTACTAACATTTGATGCTGAAAGTACACCTTTTTCTGTCGCTCAGTAGCTGATTACAATGTCCATCCACAACATTTCCTTTTTTTTTTTTGCAATTTCAAAATGTGGATTGAGCATTTGCCTCTTTGTGTCTGCTGTGAAGCCCAGCCTGGTAGTCCATCCCCTTTAAGATCCCAGCACATCCCACCCCTTTAAAGCTCAAGGGCTGCTGTCACATCAGGAGCTGCTGCACAGACTTTCCTAACGTGTGATGACCGCGCAAAGTAAAGAGGCAACTTTTCTGTAGCTCATAACGAGCCGCGGCACCCATCCATTTCTGTATTATTTGATATTGATTGATTTATCGGCGCGATGCTCGGGCTGGCCGGCCTCCCCGCCGCTCTGCTCCTCTCGCTGCTGTCCTGCTGCCCTCCTGCTCGGGGATATTTTGCGGAGGAGCGCTGGAGCCCCGAGTCTCCTCTCCTCGCTCCACGGATCCTCGTCGCCCTCATTTGCAGAAACTCCGAGCACTCTTTGCCGTATTTCCTGGGTACCATCGAGCGCCTCAACTATCCCAAAGATCGCATGGCTCTCTGGTAAGTTGTGATTGGGAACTGTGAGGTAAAACCCTGTAGCTCGCTAAGGTCTAAAAGGTCCGATTTTATTTGAACCCGATGATTTAATTTTTCAAAACTACATACGTCAGGCTTTCGCTGCTGATTTGCAGAGAAGATCAGGGGAAGGGGTGGACTTGCAGACACTGACTGGGTTACTAAAATGGCTTTTGGAAACAAAGCCAAGTTCTGTTGCGCACGCTAGCCTGCGGACTTTCCAGGGTAAAATATAACCCGACAAATCCCAACAAGCAGGATCACAGCTGAGGCCAAGGTTAGATGGCGGATATTAAAGCGAGCTTGAGTAGCCACCGTCTTGTTTTTTTAGGGGGCAGAGGGTGGGCACAGAGGTGAGCACATCTGGACATCTGGGCGCATCAGAGCAGCCGTGCGTCGCATTGATCTGTATACGTGGAGGGGAGGGGACTGATGTGGCCGCGAGGGGAGCTCTATGATTTATCATACACACACTCTCTCACACAACCTGAAGTAGTGTTTAGAGTGAGTTATACTTCTACACGTAGCTTTCCAATCCTGGAAGCCTGTACCTCCTCCTCCTCCTCCTCCTCCTCCTCTTGTGTCATAGGGGAGTAATTGATTACATGATCATCTATTTTATATTCCTATGTGGCACAGCTGTAGCCCCAGATAACCCCCATTTGTGAAGCTTTTTGATGTGTGAAAGAAACTAAACACCTCTTAAGGACATTGTGCATGATTCATGTTCATTCTGTATGAGAATAAGAAAAACATGTCATGGTCCAGTTGGCTTATGCAAGGAAAAGGGCAATCTGAAATATTCCCTCTTCATGCTTAATGATTATGGAAACTAGAAGCTGGCTGTGTTGTGCAGAATTCCGTCTCACTAAACATGTGTCTGTAGGCTTTCGCGCTCTGTCTGCTGGGATCTGTGACCAACTTGACTTCGCAAGGCCTATTAGCTGTGCAAATGTATGCTGTGAACAATTTAAACATCTGTCTGCCATGCTCAGGAAAAAGTCAAGAGAAGTGAAAGGGAGGTGCTTCTGCCACAATAACTAAACAACATGCTCCAACAGCCCACCCACTTGTTCCCTCAGCTCTGAGGAGTTTGCACGACTGCCGGGAGGCCTCAGGAGAGGTTTACTTTTCACTCACCCACTTAGTGAGCAAGTTTCACTTTAATGAGGAGCTTTGTATAAGTGAATCTGTTCTATTTTTTTTTTTCTGCTGAGTGGCCATAAAGCTCTTCTGTAAATATGCTTGCGGTAAGGACAGTTTTGTTTGACATGCGTTGCAAACAGGAAAATGCAGCTGGAAAAATGCAAACAAGTGTGTGAAGCTGTAAACACGACAGGTTGTATGCATTTCACTGGAGCCTTTTGCAGCTGTTTGTAACCAAGCCAAAGCCTCACAATTAGAACTGACCAAACAGTCAATTATATCTTGGGTGTTTGCAATTAGCCCTGCATTTTTTGCTACGCTACGCCAAAAATAGATCAGATGAAAGTGACACAGCACTTATAGATGTGTGTCTAGAGTCTAGTCTAGCACATAGTTCAAATATATACTTTAGTAAATATTCCTTTTATCTGTACATGAACAGGAAATACCTGTGCAGTTCTACGTCTGAGCTTCTGGACAGCAGGATTGAGGGAAGAAATAGTTTAGCGAGGAGCTGCAGTGTTCTCACAGATCTGTGTGAAATCCTTCAAGAGAATCCATCCTGACTGTCATACACATGAGTGAAACACAAACCCAGCTGACTGCAGGGCAGATGTTCTTTTTGCAGAAGAGTCTGCTGACCTACATGGCTGGCTGACGTTGTAGCATATTTACACAGACACAGGGATTAAGACAAAACAGCGTGTGGCTTGATTTCATCCTTATGCAGAGTTCAGTCAAACATTCTAACTGGGGTTGCCGTACACATGCCTTCAGTAGGTTTAAATCACCTCCTTATGAGCTATTGCAGGCAAGAATTTCACTTCTTTAATGTTGTGTCTTTAGCCTTACTGTTATCCTTTTTCGACTTCCTGCTCATTCCTCAAATTCAGACACTCTAAAGTGATACCAACTAGGTGTACGGTGTTTTTGTTTTCTGATGTTGGTATCATTAACACTTGTGTCAGTTCCCACAGCTGCACACAATGAGTTTACAAAAAGTGAACACAGGACTGTTGTTATTTGAGTCATGGTTTTGTCTTACATCTCTGCTCTCAGCTTGAACCTCGTCTGGCACAACTGCCACATTCAGCCATTGTTACCTTTTTCTTTTCTTTTTTTCTTGGTCTTGGTTGTTGATTATGTTCAGTCCCACTGATGTTGAATAGAGTTCATTCTAATCATTTACTTTTGTTGCATATTGACAGGGTAGCAACTGATCATAATGAGGACAATACGACAGACGTTCTGCGTGACTGGCTTGTGAAGGTGCAGAACCTTTACCATTACGTGGAGTGGCGGCCAAAAGAAGAACCCAGGTTGGTTACTTACTAAAACCTCTGGTGGTAATCTCTGTGTGCTCACATAGCCGATGCAATCGGACTGATTATTATCAAAATGTCTTTTGTAGACGCTACGCAGATGAGGATGGGACAAAGCACTGGACAGATCTCCGTTATGAGCATGTTATGAAGCTACGGCAAGTCGCACTGGAGTCCGCTCGTGAAATGTGGGCAGACTACTTTATGGTAAGTTAACAGTTAAAAAAGAAAGCTGAACAACACTGTAAATGTTTCCATTTTAAGTATTGAGCCAGTGCTTCAAACTGTGCTATTTTTATCATTCAATAATAGAAGCATAAGCACATATCAAGCTTCACCACAATTGTAATTTAAAAGAAACACAGTTGGCCCAGTTACACTTTGCCTCGTATGGTTAAAGTTTATCTTCTGGTCTCGTTCATCTGGATCCTTAAACTGTAAAAGCAGCACTGTGCTCGTTTCTATTTGTATTCCACAGCCCAGCCCACATTGTCTAACTTCAGTGGGGTATAATTTTGAAATGAAATATATCCAGAATGGCAATAATTTTGTGCTCTTAGCCTTACTTCTTAGCTTTCTCTCAGACAGCATTGCAACAAATAGTCTGTGGGTTTTTTACTATTTGGTTACTATTCAATTCCCCGTTTAACCTTCATGACCTGTTCATCATATCTTCTGAAGTGACTTTATGGTGTTCTGTAAACTTGTCTGACTCCTCACAACATATTTTACAGTTTTTCTTCTCTCTCTTGTGTAGTTGGTAGACTGCGATAACCTCCTCACCAATCCCGATGTTCTCTGGAAGCTCATGAAGGAGAATAAGACCATTATTGCTCCAATGCTTGAATCCCGTGCAGCCTATTCAAACTTCTGGTGTGGAATGACCTCCCAGGTACTCTAATGATAACTGGGTGTACCTGTTTGTGTGCACCAAGTGTTTTCCAAAAGCTTGGCTTGAACAAATGCTCTGAAATTCTGCCTGCATTCAACTGGTATTCATCTCTTCTCCTGCAGGGATACTATAAGCGGACTCCTGCCTACATACCCATTAGAAAGCAGGTGCGGAAGGGCTGTTTTGCTGTTCCTATGGTCCACTCCACGTTCCTGATAGACCTCAGGAAAGAGGCATCTAGGCAGCTGGCCTTTCACCCTCCACACCCAGAATACAGCTGGGCTTTTGATGACATCATTGTGTTTGCATTCTCTGCTCGTATGGCAGGTACTTTACAATACAGTGCTTAGGTCTTGCATCTAAAGACGTCACTCACTTGGTTGTAACCTTTTAAACCCAAATAATATACCTCTAGTTTAACATCTTCTTTCCACAGATGTTCAGATGTTTGTGTGTAACAAGGAGACCTATGGTTACTTCCCTGTGCCATTACGCTCACACAGTACTTTGCAAGATGAAACCGACAGCTTCTTGCACTCCCTGTTGGAAGTTAACGGTGAGTAGTTTCATTCAGACTGAAGGCTTTACTTTTGCAAACTCCTTGTTTTCCTCTGGCTTCAAGTCTTTATTCTACGTCTTGCTGCTTCATCTAATGATAACTTTCAGCATGGGTTTCTATATATTATTTATACCATTTCTGCATCCATCTTCCCTCTAATTGTGTAGTGCGAAATGCCCCAGTGATGCCTTCCAAACACTTACGTGTTCCGAGAAAAAAACCTGACAAACTGGGCTTTGATGAGGTGAGTATGGAGTGATTTGAAGATGGATTCTGCAAAAATGGCCCTCTATCCATTTCTATGCTGAAAGCCTCCCCCTGCTGTAGAAATCTGTAACTACACTGAGCGGTTCCACTGATGCCCTGTGTGCAGGTGTTCATGATAAACCTCCAGAGGCGGACTGACCGCAGAGACCGTATGCTGCGGACTTTGTACGAGCAGGAGATTGCTTGTAAAGTCACTGCAGCTGTAGATGGAAAGTAAGTTCATTCTGGCTAAAGAATGCTTTGTTCTGTTTGAGTACTTAGTAATCACAACTATGCCCTTTGCCACTTTGTCACGTTTCTTCTTCTCTCTGTATTTCAGAGCAATGAACATTAGTGAGATTCATACAATGGGCATCCATATGCTCCCTGGCTACAGTGACCCTTACCATGGTCGACCGCTGACAAAGGGAGAGCTGGGATGCTTTCTTTCTCACTACAACATCTGGAAAGAGGTGAACCCCAGAATCCTGGCATTACAAAATATTACAAACCAGACAGGTACATAACTTACTGATAAATCTGTGTGTGCCCTCAGATTGTGGAGCGACGCCTGCACACCTCTCTGGTGATTGAGGACGATCTGCGCTTTGAGATTTTCTTCAAACGTCGTTTGACGAACTTGATGAATGAGGTGGAGAAAGAAGGACTGGATTGGGATCTCATGTGAGTTGGTGCTTCCTACAAAATCTTGACATTTACCACAGTTTTCTTAAGTTTGAAATTTCTTCTCACCTCTCCTTTCTGTTTCTTCCTTCTAGTTACATTGGTCGGAAGAGAATGCAAGTGGACCACCCAGAGAAAGCAGTGCCAAATGTACATAACTTAGTGGAAGCAGACTATTCATATTGGACACTAGGCTATATGATGTCATTACAGGGTGCTGAGAAGCTTTTGAAAGCAGAACCGCTGAAGAGGATTTTGCCAGTGGATGAGTTTCTTCCTATCATGTACAATAAACATCCTGTGTAAGTGTTTACTTAAACTAGCACAAGTACACACACATCACATGTACATCTGCTTGGGAATTTTTGGTTTTTCTTGACCTTGCTTTCTCCTCCTCAGGTCTGATTATATGGATCAGTTTGAAACAAGGGACCTGAAGGCATTTTCTGCAGAGCCTCTACTTGTGTATCCGACGCACTATACAGGTGATGCGGGCTACATCAGTGACACTGAGACCTCCACTGTGTGGGACAATGACAAGGTCCGCACAGACTGGGACAGAGCCCGCTCAGGAAAAACTCGAGAGCAGGCTGAGATCAGCAGCGAAGCTCAGAACTCAGATGTGCTCCAGTCCCCCCTGGACAGCACAGCACGGGACGAGCTATGAGAAGAACTGAGTCAGAGCCACGGAAAAAAACGTAAAGGTGCATGGGACAAACACGTCAGTTTTTAGAAACATGTTTGATCCTCGATTGTTTTGATTCGCATCACAGCAGGGATGTGACATCAAAGTTTATAAAAAGGTTTAATTTATCAGATGTGACGAGTTGAAAAGGGATCATGTGTGTCTTATGTTTTCTTGTCAGATTGTAGTTTTTACTTAACAAAGGCACTAGACTTGCCACTTGGGATGGCATTTGCGGTACCCAAATTCTGTCTGTCATACAGAAATGAACATATGCATTAGCAGAGAATGAAATTGGTGTTACATTTCAGTACACTGTGAAATACTTTTAATCTTTTCTCACCACTTCATAGACTAAATGGGGTACAACTACACTCTTTATCACTGAGCAAAGTCAAAACATTGTGTCGTTCTTTTCTTTTAATTTTCATATTGCTGTGTTTTGAGTAATCATAAGCCAGAAATGTAGATGCTTGTAACAAAACTTTACCGAGCAACAAAGCACACATGCAACAGTTGGTGCTAACTCAGAATTGTAGATTTGCAGTAGTGCTGATGAACACTTTCTAATGGTGCAGTTTCTTCCCTTGTTGCTACTTTTTGATTGTCTTCAGACTAATGCCACAGAATAGCTGTTGACATTGTTTTAAGTGAGACAAAGCACTGTACACACCACACACTCTCCAGGTTAAGAATATGGTTATATGTTCCCTTTAGGTTCCCTCAGAAAGAACCCAACTTAACACATCCAAACCCACTTTGACCTTTGTTTTCAGTCAGAATTTGAGCGGTTTGGGTGACACCGGCTTCATGAAAGGTTTCATACACAAGACAAGGCGTGAAGTCTGGATCATTGTGCTTTTCACAGCTTATTTATATTGTCATGGTTTCCCTGCAGCATGGCCAGATTTGTGAAGAAGTTGGTTTCTGTTGAGTACTGATAAGAGCCATTCACCCACTGATTATGCACAGAAATGTTAGCGATGCATTGTGCCAATGAAAAATAAAATGTTTTATTTTTAAAAGGTTGAAATTGTGATTACTGTCATAATGTGTATATTAACATGTTGGTTGAACCATTTTTCTTTCTGAATGCTGAATGTACAAATTCAACTTATGACATCTGAATGCTGTAGCCAGTGAACAGTTGATGGACTGTAAAGGGGTAGATTTATGGTGGGATCACTCAGTACAGTAACTGTTTATTGTGGCCTCAATCACACCACATGTACACTGTAAACTGCATGTGGATGTTCCAAATGGCTGTGAGCCATTTGTTACATTTATACCTTTGCAATCACTGAAAAATGCACAGGATGCAGTAGACAGTTATGTAGAATTGAGCTTGTTCTCAGTTGTTTTATTTTCACACCTCTGTGTGTCACTCTGCTTCAACTGTTAAATGAAAGCAAGCTGTCAAGTACGTTCAGTTGAGGACATTTTGCTTGAAGTTTGGCCCTAGACAATCATGCTGCAGTGATTAATACTTAATTAATCATTTAAAGTTTGTTCCAGGGCCCTAGTAGACATAATTTCAAAAGGTCCAAGGATGATTAAAATAGGCCTTTTTTTTTTTAGACTTTTTTCTTATAGACTTTTTAAGTCTGACCAAGTATTCATTGCAGAAACAAAATACTTTATGTGGAACAAAATCTGTTCAAATAATGAAGAATGTGATTGTTTATATTTGTTGTACAGCATAGTTTCATATTTGTCCGAGTTCAAAAATGTTTCTTACCACAGCAATACAACCTTAACACAGTGGCACCTTGTCACTATATTTGGTGAGACAGCGTAGGTGGGGCTTACAATAAGATGCACTTCCTCTTCCCTTGATGGTGAAAACACCGGCCAACCTTCACTCTACCAGAGGAAGATCACTTTGACAGCGTAACTGGCAGCAAATCGAGAGCTGCATGCTAAAAACTTCCTATAAGTGTCACTGTGTGTACGCTGCAGTGCAGATTTCCTGCCACCTCAACTATATGGTTTTTATTGTGTATTGTCGTGTGACTTTAGGGGCAGATGATGTCTGAGTGCTACTGGTAGGGCCTGGCTGCTGTGGTGATAGTGTAGAAATGGAAGAAAATCTAGTGTCAAACAAGGATTCTTCTCAAGTCACAGGTGAGCACAAAAAATGTGATGTTTGATCATTTTGAGGAAGTGTTGCCTTTTACTGTACTTATCGGGTTGTCCATTATACTTATATACATATTGGATCTTATTTTTTTGGTGTTTGTTTTAAAACCTCTTAGCCATTGAGAATACATCCATTTGCACAGATGCTTTCAAATGGCTGAATGCTCACTTGGTATGTGTTGACTGGAAATTTGCTGACGTTGCAGCAGAGCTTCTATGGCATGGGTAGTGCATGTGGGTGCATGCACGTATTGTATGCACAATGTGGCTGGATAATCTTCGTTAATGTGTCTGTCAGGGTTAGTGAACTTCCTGAGCTCCTCCTCCGTTTTGACACATACTTGTTCTGTCTTTTTTTGCTTAACTTCTGTATTTTTAAGAGGATATGCCTACTTTTGTTCTTTGCAAGAAGCCAGCAATAGCATATTATTTCAGGTTATTAGTGGGACTGGTGTGGCAGTAGCTTGCAATGAACTTCCTTATCCAAGAAGTTACCACAATGTGTCCTAAAATCCTAAACAAAAAATTCTTTCACTTATTACAAATATTGCATGTGAACAGCAAACTAAAATAGTGAAGTGCTTGAGTGCAGTTTCACTGGTAGAGCTATGAAAGCTAATTTTGCTGATCTTTCTTGCCTCTCAGTTCTTATGCTGAAACACTGCTGGTGTGAAAAACAAGGACTTTATGTTCAGTATGGGATGTGACACAAATTGCAAGCAGGATGTGGTTGACCAAAATGGAGGCATCGCTCAGAGACAGAGAGATTTCTCTCTCTCATTTGTTGCATCTGTTTTAAATGATCTGTTTTTAACCTTTTTGTCTGTCACAGGGTGAAACACCAGTTAAACAATGTGAACACAGAAGTTTGAGGCTTCATTATCGAAACGCACACATTGTTCCACGTTGTATTTTAGTTCACTCAAAGAACTATTTTACTCAGAAGTGTAAAGGAAATGCTGTTAGATATGACTTCAGAAGAGGAACTAAGTTTGATTTTTTTTATTTTTTAAAATTTTCTTTTAAGAGGAATCATTTATCTTAATGCTGTTTGTTCACATATATAAAACACTGGTTTGGCCTTTACACAGAATATTTATGTCGTGTTGAAATATTGTGCATTTCTGTATACTGTATAGTAAGGCCATCTTATTACTTTATGTATCTTAGGTTTTCCATTTATCATTTCAGATGTGAAGAAGGTGCATCATAAATCTGAGACCAAGCGCTACAGTGAGATCTTCAGAGAGTTTGATAATCTTGATTTATCTTTAATCTCTTCGTAAGTATGAAATATCTACAAATGGTGCTACTGGTTTCTGTTGTCTCCTGCATCACTCTGCTTGTTCTGTTCAATCTGAACACTGTGATGGACAAACACAGTGGGTAGCAAGGAGTCATCAAAGTGCTCTACGTTTGCTTGATCAAAGGAAACCATGTAGGATGTTTAGACATATTCATCAACTCATACCAATAATCCATCAGCATAAATTGTGCATGATCTAGCAGTATAGATTATTTCCTGTGATGAGCGCTTTTAAATAAATGTTGAATCAGAGTGAAATTAAATGTCATGTCTCTCTAAATCTAATTTTATTCTGATTCTAATTTTATGACAAACACTAACTTTGGTGGGCTGAATGTTGTTGCTTAAACAGTATTTCTCTAATAACCATACATACACATCAACATAATATATGATAGTGTTAAAGCAGAGCTGCAATGATGCATGTTGTGTATAAAATAACGTACTGCACATTAAAATGTCCTAAAGGGATTTGTGTCTGATATTGATCAACCAAAAAACATGTGGAATTTACATGCTTGGTAGTGTTTCTTCTGTATATTTTCATTGTTTGTCCACAGTATGTTCCTTGACAATCCCTAAGCTTTTTTTAAGTATCACAATCTGCCTGTGTATGTTTCTCTCCTAAAACATTAATTCTGTGTTCAGTGCAGGGGAGGATCTGCTGGCAGACATTGACTCCCAGTCCATCTCAGAGTCCATCTCTGCAGATAGTGCGGAGCTCACAGAGCAACAAGATGTGTCTGTAAGAAATGAACACTTTAAAATAATGAAGAAATCTTTATGCCTGTTATTGTTTAGGCTAGAGTTTCAGATGCTGTTGTTGAAATTATTGATCCCACTCTCATCAGAAATAGAGTAGATATTTTTTTGGAAACCACTCACAGAATATTGCAGGTGTGTTTTGATGCGATTAGTTGTGCCTTCGAAGCATAAGAGTCTGTATTTTTCCAACAGAGTGAAGATGCAATTTGTCCACAGATACGTGCTGAAGGCAATGAAGCAGATGGAAACCAATCAGGTATGATTTGTATGAGAGTGGCAGTAAGAGAACAAAGAAAGTATGGAAGTGTGTGTATGCTCTCTGGTGTGGGTCAGTGTACGTCTGTCTGATATAAACTGTAAAGCACTGAGCGCAGGGAATCATTACAAAGTTCCTTTATACTTTGCATCATCACCAGTACATGTGACTTGTTGTATTAGGCTGGTGACTGACGTCCATCATCTCAGGAGATCATTGGGAGAAGCAGGGGCTTCTGTCTGTGCCACATAATAGAGTATCTTCTTCAATCTTAACCTTTTTCCTCACAATTTGCTGTAAGTTGTAACTGCCCCGTTGTAACAAGATTAGGATAAAGCGAGAGGATTAAAGCACAAGACAGCTGCTCTCAGTTTTCATGTTAAATACAAGGGAAGGACAGAAGTATCTAAAGAAAGAGGAAATGTCCGTGTTATGAAGCCTATGGCGGTAAATACAGCGGTAACCGAGATAAACACTGGACTGACTCATAGTTTACCCTGGTAGTCGCTGCCAAGCACGTCAACCTGAGTTTGACTCAAACTTCCCCGTGGGTCACAGCACACAGTCAGAGATTTGGAATTACAGAGGCAGATATTGTTGAAACAGCAAAACAGAAGACCTAGCCATTATCTAACAAACACTTGCAGCATAGACTGTTGCCCAGAACACCTCCCCCACCCCTCCTTACCCCACTTGCTAGGTCACACACCAGGAGGTAAACCTCACTCGATGCTCCTCCAAAGCCTGTTGCTCCACAATCTGGACCTGACTAGGATAATCCTCAGTTCAAGGCTGGGGGCCGTGCACATGGGGCAGCACAGAATCTGCCCAGAGGCTGATTTCTGAAAGTGCTCGGAGCTCTTCCTAACGCACAGAGGAGAAAGGCTAAGGGAGGTCAACCTTAGCACACAACCCAGCCACAAGTCCATCATTACTCTGGAATTGCTTGTTCTATTTTTTGGACTTTGTGTAAAGACACTGAGAAAAATATCACTCTGGATTTATTTTTCTACCACTCTAACTGGATTTGGCATCTGCGTAACGGAACAGAACGGACTAAAATCTGCGTGTCTGAGTGAGGAACTTGAAAGAGAAGTCGTTGCACTCTTTCTGGCAGTGCGTGTGTGCTTGCCTATTTAAAAAAAATAAATAAATTAAATGTGGACTGTTAGAAGAAGTGAAAGTTGTTGAAGTGTATGTGCGCTCAAAACTTTGGCTTAGGAGAAAATTATGTTATTTTGTTTATATTTAATTGTTAAAGTTGTTGTGAAAGGGGAATGAAAAGACAGAAAGTTGTGTGGGGAGCGTTTGTTAAACCATGAGACTGTCACACATACATCATCCACCCTTGTGTTAGTGTGAGTCACAGAGGAAGAAAAGTGGTTGCCATATCAACACCCTGCCTGCCTGACCGAAGCAGAGCCGTGACATGGTGGTGTCTGATGCTGCCCGCTGGCTCAGAGTATGGCTGGGCTGTTTGTAGCTGACTAGAAGTGAACAGGTGTGGGAGGGAGGGGCTAGACAGAGGGAGGAAGAGGGGAGAGGAGGGAAGTAATTCAGCTAAAGCCGTTTGTCTTTGGTCCACAGAAACCCTTCCCTCTCAGGTCACATCCCCATTGTGTCAAGTAGAGGATGTAGGGTTGTTTTAAGAGTTGTTGTTTTTTTTGTCAGCTAATAGTATACATCAAGTCTATGCAAGAGATACCTACAATTTGCTGAGATCTTCTGGAAAACCACAGGACCTTTACACTGAGGAGCAGCTATGACTTGCCATATGCAATCATTGTTTCCTTTTTTGGGTTTGTGCATACTTTTTTTTTTTTTTTTTCAAAGTGGATTTTGATTTTTGATTATTGTTATCTTATAAAATCTGGGGGTTTGGGATTGTCACTCTAGTATAGAAAGGTGTTACTTTGAGGCTGGAGGCTGTTTGAGTCCTCCAGGAGAGACAAGCTGTGGGGCGAAGCCTGGTGCACACAGTGTAATCCCCGGGTACAGCTCCAAGTGTAAGGAGCATACAGTGATGCTGATGTACTCCCTCACAGCCCAGGAAGCAGACCTGGCCCTCTGTCGCTGCGAGGATGGAGTGGAGACAGCGCTGCAGTACGCCAAGATGTGGTGCCGCTATGCCAAAGACCTTCTTGCCTGGATGGAGAAGAGAATCAGCTTGGGTACGTACACATGCAGCTGTGTAAAGGAAGTAGTAGGGACATATGCAAAGTATTTTAATGCAAATCTACTGTCTCTACGTTAGGAATTGGAAATCATGTTATGCACTGTGCAGTTACTAGTCTTACCAAAAATGTATTAATTTAAAATTAAGTATTATGTTGTGTAGGTTGATGTGACTTCCCCCAAATTGTTTCTTATAGTTAGAGCAGGTATTTGTTTATTCAAGAGAATCTGTCCTTTTTTTTGACAACAACTATGTACCGTCTATCAAGGAAAAGAAAAGACAGTAACATAGGAATGTCTGAGTGATAACTGGTTTAGAACTATGTCCTGTGCATTGCCAGTCTGTAATTTTTTACTCACTGAAGATGACTGCTGGTGGTGCTGCCACCCTAGTGAGCTACAAGCGGCACACACAGAGAGGAAGGATTACAAGGCAGATTAGCTGGCGAGATGAGGGTAATAAAGGACACAGGGTGCCTTTGGAGTTCCTAGTTAGTGATTACACTTGTATCAGCTTTCACACATGTCCAGTGTCCCGACAGGCATGCCAAGCATGTAAGTCTGTTGGTAGCAATCAAAAATACAGGGTGACAGTAGAGTTCCTCAGCTTCATAGTACAAGGACTAGTGTTAGGCAATAGCAACTGATGAGTAATGTTGGGTGGTGGTCAGTCCCAAACTACTCATTACACGTAGTAGATCAACACTTTGGTTGCCTATAATAGCAGCAGTACAGTGTCCCTTTTCAAAGAGAGCAGTCAGATCACACACCGCTGTCAAAGTAGTGTTTGTGTCAGGTCATGACCAGAACTGAGAAGTCAGATTATCTGTAGATAATTTTACAGTGTCAGGCATAAACACTGAAAATAAATGGGTTTATTTCTTGTTGTAGTTCCTCAACCTATGCAAAATGCAGATCAACGCTGTTTTTAAGCAAATCAGTTCCATTGTTGAGAGGTTTGATGAGCTTTTCAGGACACATTAGGGTCATTTGAAGGTACATAAACCAAGTCTGATTAAAATAGAGCTCTGTGTATCAAATCAAGCCTGCACCAACAGCAATAATTCATATTCTGGTCCCATTTCACCAAATAGTCCAATTCTGTATGTCCTTTTCACATTCTGATTTATAGTATTTTGTGAATAGCTTTAAAAAAATAAATAAATAAATTGATTTGTGTTTTTTTTGACAGAACAAGAATTTTCAAAAAATATCATAAAGACAGCAGAAGGGGCAAAGGCAAATGTGGCACAACAGGTACGGCTTTGTTTATTGAACATTTGCCAAAGGAAATGTTTTATTGATTTTGACAATGTGTTTTTGAGAGTCGCTGCTACAACAAAGTTTGTAGCATTTACCCCTCTTACCTATATTTACTATAGAATATCTGTGTAAATTTCTTGCCTGTGTAGGAAATGATGCCACTGCAGTACATCTACACCATGGCTCTAGAGCAAGACATCAAGAACAGCGTGACCTCTCGAAGGACTTCTGAATTGCTACAAAACCGCTGTTACCAGGTATAAAAGTCCCCACGCGAGCAAAAAGTCCACACCATCTGTCTTTTAGAGGTAGATGTGTTTAATCCAGTGTCTTTGTCCCAAAGGCCTTGGCTGCCAAGAAAAATGAGATCGATAAGTGGCGCAGAGAGTTTAAAGAACAGTGGGCAAGAGAACAAAGGAGGATGGTGAGTGAATTAGGAGTCATATTTATGGCTGAACACTGTACATACTGTAATTAAACTCTCATGTGTGTCTTTATACAAGTTGCATAATCACTGAAGTGTATACATGTTTGTGTGTAAGTTTTGCATTGCACGCATGTATACAAGTGTTGCTTATTGTTGATGTAGCTGTTGTTACATGTATGTTATTTGAGTATACTGTAACAATTTCTGTAACTAGAAAATAATCTTGTTTTTTCCTCCACCGCTTCATGTTTTCAGAATGAAGCCGTGACTGCTTTAAAAAAGGCCAGGCAACAGTACTTCCAGCGGTGTGATGAGCTTGAAAAGGCAAAAGCTGTCACTGCTAAAGCTGTGGAGGACACAGCTGGGATGAAAACACTTGATAAGAGGAGGAAGTCTAAGGATGAAGCCCAGACTAAGGTGAATGCCCTCTTAATACACTGCATTAATGTAATCTCTAAAAAATAAAACTCCAAAACAGTTGTAGTACTAAAGTTATCTAACGATGTCTAATTTTGTATAATACAATATAAGAACAAAGACACAGATTTGTGATTGTATAGCAGCTCTTACGCCTCTCTCTGTCTTCCCTAGGTGTCGGAGGCAGAGCTTCTGTACAAACAGTGTGTGAGTGATGCCAGGCTCCACCAAGACGAGTTAGTGAAGGTCAAAGAAAGAATTATTTCTCACATTCGCAAGCTCATCTGTCAGGGAGACACTGTACTCAAGGAGGTTGGTATGAAATTAAGAAAACCAAGCATCTGTCTTCCTGTCAGTGTGTGACTGGGCAAGTTGTGGTATAAATGTAGAATGTATGGTAGTATTATCAGTTTCAGTCTCTCAAGGCACTATACAGACTATATATATATATATATATATAGCAACAATGGCTAAGGATACATTAATTAACTGCCTGTGTATAAAATACATGGCTTTGCTTGAATATAATAATCTATTTCAGCAGTGGTTTGCAACTTTGCTTGTTTAATGGTATAAAATAAAGAAATTACTTGTGCAGAATTACAATACATCTCCTGTGCTTCTGCTTTAAAAAAAAACAACAACATCCTTTTAATTCTTTCCTTTGTGTTGAAATTAAAACTGCAAGCAATGATGGCAGTATGAAAATGAAATCTGTAAGCAGAGCAGCATCCTAATATTGTATATTCCAGACAGCCTGCTATCTGTTGATAAAATCATTTCTTTGTCTTCACATTACATCCTCTTTTTGCATCAGGCCACAGTCAACATGTTCTACTACCAACGGCAGCAGACAGAACCTGTTCCCCTTGGCTATCACAACCTGGAGCTGACATGCAGATCTCTGGAGCCTGGCGAGCCCTACCTGCTTTACATCTTGAGCAAGCGCCGCCCCGAACAGCCTCTCCAAGTCTTCAACTTTCAGGAGTATGCTCCTCAGGGCAAAGGGTATGGTATACCTAGTGGTTTTTTCTGTTACTTTGTCTGTGATAGTTTGTGATACTGTGCACCTTGTTAAACAAGGCTGAGGTAATTATTTAATAATGGGATAAAAAAAAATTACACATCTTTACTCATTAAAATGATTGTTTCAATCCTTCATATTTCAAAGCCACAAACGAAAAACCAGCGGCGCCCTCAGCACTCTGCAGGACTCTTCACTTATAACAGATGACGTTTGTTACAGACGACCCGGAGATGGAAGTAAGGATTCCATGTGATTACCCAATGACTATACTGAAAGACAAATCCTTCTGTTTGATTTAATTTGTGACTTGGTGCACTTTTAGGGAAAACGGGGCACAGTGACAGTGAGAGTATTGGAGGAAGTCAAGAATCTCTGTCCAGTCCTGGTAAGCACACGCCTACATTTGTTGCAGTAACTTTTCTTCTTGCATAATAAAACTTTGCACAACTTACCATTTTTGATTTCCCCTATACCGTGTGTCTTTTCTGCGGGACTACATAACTGAAGCAAACAATATTTGGAGGTCACCCAAATCCACATCCACTGTGGCAGTATCATCAGACGACCCCGACGACCGGGATGTGGTGTCAGAGTCAGGTTTGTTACCTCTTTTTCCTGCCTTCATAAACAGACAGGAGTTGTTGTTTTTTTGTTTTGTTTTTTTACTTTTTTTTAAAAAAAACTCCAAATCAGCACTAAAGTGAACCTCTTCTGTCCATGCAGAGTACCTTGATGGCCAGCCAGTCAAAGTGCGCACATTTTCTCGGGCTGCACTAACACACCGACTCAGGAAAATGAAGAGCAAGATGGTCAAATGCAAACAATGTGACAACTACATTGTTGTCAGTGGGGTTGAATGTGAGGAGGTATGATGCTAAATCGGAGATATGTACACATACATTGTGATTGGACTAACAGAGAGAGAACATAGTGTCTCTAAAAATATTCATGCAATCTTTTCTTTGTGTCACACATTCAGTGTGGGCTGGCTTTGCACAGGAAGTGCATGGAGGTGTGTCAGCTAGAATGTGAGCACAGGAAAGGGACGGTGTTCGGAGTGGATCTCTCTCTGCTGCAACGTGACAGGCCAGACGAGGTCCCCTTTGTGGTGCTGCGCTGCACGTCTGAGATTGAGAGTCGCGCTCTCTCTATCCAGGTATTATTTAGCACCACAGTGACCAAAGCATATGTGCTGTCAAGTGTGAATTCCAATAACTGTTGTCTACTTTTGTTTTCTGAGGGGGTGTATCGTGTGAGTGGGTCCAAGCCTCGCATTCTGAAGCTCTGTCAGGCCTTTGAGATGCAAAAGGAGCAGGTGGACCTCTCTGACCCCTCACCCCATGACATTACCTCTATCCTTAAGCACTTCTTTAAAGAGGTACAGGACTCACTGACAAATGAACTTCACTGCATTGGTTAGGTTGATTATAAGAGGGATGAGCATTAAATATCAGATATACATAACTGGATAAAGTTTTAAGGCACTAAAGGTAAAGTAGGGAAGTTTTCAAGAATAATGCCATAAATAGTTTCAGTAAACTGAGCATCAGTCAATCTAATCTAATGATACTAATCAACGTTATGGATGAGTGAGACTCCTGTGTGGTGGAGACAGCTGCAAGTGTCTGAGGTGCCTTGAACTTTTGCACAATACAGCAGTTTGTCTCTGTGTGCCGGTAAATAATTGCAATATTATCTTTTCCAGCTCCCAGAGCCCTTATTAACCTTTGACCTGTACAACGATTTCATCGCGGTGGGAAAAACCATTCAGCACCTGAGTGAAAGGGAGGCACCACCAGACACTAACGAGATAATGGACGTCATTCACAAGCTGCAAAAGCTACTACAGAAGCTTCCCACATATTGCTACAGCACTTTGCAACACCTTATGTGTCACCTGCAAAAGTGAGCATGCAACTGGATGACAGATCTTTCTAGTTACATTAAACCTAATCCTTCTCAGAGATTACATTGCACTGTGATAAACTCTGCCTGAGCTTTCCCTGAATTTGTCTTTACAGGGTTTCAGAGAACTTTGAAAACAAGATGTCACCGAGCAACTTGGGTATTGTATTTGGGCCAACATTGTTGCGCCCCCTGGTATCTACAGACATGCCAATGATTGCCCTGTTGGAAACCAGCTACCAGGCTGTACTTGTTGAGTTCCTCATCAAGCACCACGACAAGGTTTTTGGCCTGCAGAGACCCAGTACACCCCCTCCTCCAGCCCCCACTGCACCTCTTCCAGACACCCCACCCAGAGCTTCCTGTTCCGTAGAAGGGGCCGTTTATGCCGACTTGGAACATGAAGCTTCCTCCAGAGAGCGTCCACACTCACTAGAAGTAAGTAGTTCAGTGATCTCCAGCTCGAGCACGCATTTAGTGGCTGCTGCTGTAGTCAAGTTTGTGGGATTTTCTAAGACTCCAATCAGTGACCAATTTCAAGAGGTCCTTTTCAAGCGGTCACCTTTATTTGACAACTAATTAGGTTTAAAGGGGATTGGTAAAAGTTGCTTGGCATTCTTTGAGAGAGTTCGCACTTACCTGTTGCTTTAAGAACCTTAGCACTTGGCACTGCAACCTCAAGTTTATTCTGTGAGGATTAACAAGCTGGACAGCTGCTGCATTTCTACTGACCTTCTTTCAAGCTTTACTGTGTGTGCATTTCACTGCTGTTGCTTTTAGACTATAAACAAAATATAGTTAGACTTTAGACATTTACAATGGCTGTCTCGAATGGCTTAGAGGCACAAAGTAAAAATTCCTGTCCCTCAGGCGGCTTAATTCAGCAAACCTGACAGTTCAAAAGCTCCTCCATTTAGGACATGAAATATGTACCTAACTACCAGGCTCATCCCTCAATAGTCACTGGCCCAGTAAGATTCACTGTCACATACTGTGGTGCTGCAGTATTTTAGGATTAGATGTGGTCTGTAAACACTTGCAGAAATCCGCCACTCAACTTGTGTCATTCCAACAGAGTCGAACAATCAAGAGAGACTCAAGCGAGGGTTATATATCTGACAAGTCTTCATCCAATGAGGCAGTGGACCAGCTCAGCCCTGAAGCCAATGAGAGAGCAGGTAGGCGGGTTGCAGTGACAGAGAAGTTACTAGAATAGGTGAGCAAAGTAACGATAGAATTTAATCTACAATGCTGATGCCTTGTGTAGTTTGTAGAAGTTGAGGTTTTCTTTTGCCAGTGTAATTAGTTCTTGCTTGTTGTGCCAGCTTGTGCTGCTTGTTAATTAATCCTTTTGGAGATATTGTAGGTGTCACACACACAGTTCCCAAGTTTACTTCATTTCTCACACAAAGGTGGTTGGTTTCCGATTAGAGTTATTCAGTTTCTTTCTAAACAACGGATACTGCGGGTGCAGAGCACCACAAAAAATCTGCTGTAGTTCTTTTCTTTAACACTTTGCATGACTCCTTGAGTTATTTTTAGATAAAGATTTCCTTTCCTGTGAAATGACTTCAATGACACTTCTTAGCTTTTGTAAAGATTGTGTTCATAGAACTAAGCAAACAATGTGTGAGTTTAACTACAACATAACATAATCTTATGGTTTACTTAGGTTAGAACTCTTGGTTTAGATTTTGACGACCAACTTACAAAATAAAAATATTGTGGTTTTTTTTGCTGCAATGGACATCTGAGGCTTTAACTCTTCTTTGCTTGCTTTACTCTTGCTATTTTTCTTCTCCATGGCGACAACAACACGCAGCTTCAAGGCTTGTAATTGCAACTAAACATGTGTGTATATAACTACCAAAAGCAGATCTGCATAATTAGTTTTTAAATCCTCTTAATTGATTTTAAGACATTGCAGGATATACTTCCATTTCACACTGTATGCCATCCAGAATATATTTAATTTTAAGTTTTCAGTTAAGGTAATACTGAATGTTTCTGAGTTTAGGTTCAGGGATTGCTTTATTTACCTGAAAACAATATGCAGGGAAAGGTGTGTTTTTTATAATATTATAATCAATAACCTGTGTTTGTATTGCTTTACTTTGTGAATCACGTGTTTGTCCTTCCTGTTCTGCCCCAGTCCTGGCTCTGAGAGGGACATTGAGTGATCCGCATGGTGGGTCAGTGGTGGAGCCTACCCCAGATTTTGGGATCCAGCCACAACATCGCTTCACCAGACAGCCTGTGAAGTATTACCGGCATCATAACCCAGGAACCCGACTCTCTAACCCATGTCGCACAGCCAGACAGCCTGCATCTCCAGCGATGGGCCATCCAGGGAGTGCAGACAGCAGCCGCAGCTCGTCCCCAGAGCCAAGGATGCAGAGACTTTCCCAAAATTTAGATGTCCACTTTGAGAACACTTGCCAGCTCAAGGAGCCCATTGCCACAGAGACTAAAATGGATGCCCCACTAAGCCCTCGTGAGGTTGTGCAGTACATGCTGGGACTGGACTTAGCGTTTACATCACCTGTAGCTGCAGCATCATCATGTACAACACAGGCGCCTACTCAGGAAGCAGCCGCAAGGTGTCAAACTGATCAGAATATAAACCTGACCAGTAACAGACAGAATGCTGGTCGAAGCCATGCTCTGTGTCAGTCACCAAAGACAGTTCCTACTGAGCACCACCTGACCTCACCAGCCCAGAAGATCCTGTCTGGTCTGAAGCTGAGACGCAGTCACTCAGGGAAGGATGAGCAGCTCTTTGTCTGAGGAAATATAAAAATCTCGAGACATTTCACTAGAATGCATTGACACACTGGAGGACTGCATAGTATTATTGTTATTGTGTGTAACAACAGTTACTAGTATCAACATTCATGTAGTTATCATATAAAAAACCCATATTTTACGCACAGTTGTCATCTCTGTTGCACAACATTGAACTATGTTCATTTACCAAAAAGCGAAATGTTTCAAACTACCATTTAAAACAGAGTGAAAAGTTCAGGCCTGCTGCTTACTCGGGTACGGTAACCTTATTACCACCTAATCCTATTTAAGATTTGATCTGTCGACCATTTAGCTGCCTAATACCCAGATCAGACAGGAGAGGTTCAGCTATTAATCAGTTTTTATTACTTCTAGTGTATTTGAGTGTAGGAAGCACGGTTTTAAAATGGGAGGTGACAAGATGCAAAGTGGCACTTAAGTATCAATATTTCGTCCAGAACAAACTACACTGGGAATTTGTAAAATACAAATGTTTTCAAGTTTGTTTTTTATTTTTAAGATATTATTTTCTATTTTTCAAAAATATTTTAGTCTGTTCATATTAACATTTTTGTAAAGCACAGAGATATGTCTTCACTGGTGTCATTGCTAAGTTTATTTTTTTAGTTTAATGCACCTTTCCTGTTTCACCACAAGGGGGCGATGTTCTCTCAGTGTGAAGGAAAAACATGCCAGACACAATAGTAGAAGGAAAATAAACCGTTTATTCCTAATTAAAGTGCTGTGTTTTGATATTACACTGTTCCTAGTTCCACAAGAGCCTTTTCATCCCAGGATGTGCTTCAGTTTATGCGCACAATGTAAAACGAGGCAACATTTTCTGATGTCTAGATGGAGTTATGCAAGGATGTAAGTGCTGTCATCTTCATTTGCCTTTGTTCTTTAGATATCTTTTCACCACAATCGGGAGTGTAATTATAAACTAAAATATTAGCGCCATAATAGATATTTGACAATGAGGAGGTGGATTAACATGTCTCCGCAAGTTGTTTCACCTTTCAGCTGCGCCCTTTTAAGTCTCCGTCTAACCTTGAACACAAATGCAAAAGATCCTCCCCATCTGAGTTATCAGTAGGCTGCATTATCGCTCATCTTCCCTCATCATCTTCCGCACCTTCTCCCTCCCTCCTTGTCTGTCCATCTCCTCCCTCTGCGCCTTTTTACGCACGAAACAAGTCAGAGCGCACACACGGCTGCCGGAGAAAACAGGAGAGACAATAGGCAGTACTTTTGGTCATCATGGTATTTGGATTTTTACCGTAGGCAACATGCTCGCCGCACTGTGAAGTACAGGTGGACAATCTGTAATCGCGTCTGTTCATTTACTAGCCGAAAGTTTTCCCCAGGTTTTTAATGTTGCCAACCGAGATTTCAGGAGGAGTGTGTTTCACCTCAAGGTAGGACTCCGCAACTCAAGAACAGGTTGTCAGTGAGGGCAGCCTTGTGGTTGGCAAATACTTGTGTTGCCTGAACTGATGTGTTTGTTATTTCATGTGGAGCGCTTGCCCTGTAGGTCTGACCTTATTTAGTGCGTGTTTTCCAAATGCTCAGGTTAAAAAAAAAAGAAAAAAAAAAATGAAATCACAGTGGTGTTGCTGTCCGATAAGTTCAACGATGTTCGCTTTCAGATGTTAATACAAACAAAGGTAATGTACAAGAGAACTGATTTTATTACAAGGTTCTTTTCTTGATTCCGAATCAAATATGTTGCTTTGAAATCTGTATGATAATTGTCTTTCTAATTAATTTTGCATGCTTTTACACCATATCTAAGTGCAGTGATCACATACAATCGTTAGACTAAATGTACATCAACTTTGTCATGTTCTTTTTTATTTTATTTTATCTATTTATTTTACTTTTGATTGCCAGAGGGAAAACCTGACTTTTAACAGCTTTTAAACTAAACTATCAAACACATTGCTTGTTATAATTTTCTGAGAGAGGGTTCTTAATATTTCGTTCAATACCATTAACGTCAGTTTTAAACAACAATTTATTGATCCTCATATAATGTGACTTTTATATTTCCTTAAATTGTAGCTCCAGGTGACCTGCAGGAAATTTGATTCAATCTTTTTCTCTTTTTTTTAAACATTAATATTTCTGTGATCATTGTCAGGCTGTCAGGTTGTTAGAGTCAACGTGTAATTGTGGGAGCATTACACAAATAAGTCATTAACGTATTCAACACGCAATTAGGAAAAATGCCAAATCAGATTAGTTGTATTTACATAATTCATTTGTTTTATTTGATTACTTAATTTACCCATTTTATATTTCCTGTATTTCTATATTTCCCCCCCACAGGCCGCCTAAATGGATCACATGGATTCGTTGCCATTATTACAGCAACAATAAAATATTTCAAAACATACAATAAGTGTGTACATTATGATATTAATTTCCAAAATCCATTGTCTGATAATGCCACGACACAGAAACCACAGAGTTAAAATTGCCTGCAGAGAGAGAGAGAGAGAGAGAAAATCAGTGGCAACTTGTCTTTTTCTCTGGTTTTTAAAGGAGTTTTGTAGGATACAAAATGCCATCTGCGTCTTCTAATGCGTCCCCTATATGCTGACACTGAGCAGCTTGACAAATTAGAATAACTGTAGTAAATTAAATAAAATGATTTTATGCAAAATTTAGAAGAAACTTTAAGACATATATAATTACTTTAAATGATTTCCACACAAAACCCCGTTTTTAACCCCAAAATAGTGAAAACATACATGTTTGTTTGATAGGCTCGTTTTTAGTTTGTTACAATTTTATGCTGCTTTTATTTTTAACAACAATAATAATAATTGAATAATTATCTCTATTGAGTTTTAAAGGTTGGCCAAATTATATAATTGTTGATTTTTAAAGGCTGGCATGTACTTTAAAAAGCATGATTTACGGTTCAATATTACGTTTGTATTATGGGACCATCTTTGAGGCCCGTGTTTATATCCTTTAATTCGGATTTTTGGTTACTTTTACGCGTCGTTATTTCAGTTTACTTTTTTTTTTGTATTAGTTATTTCTGCATTTAATAACTTGAATTGTGTCCAAGCTGAGTGGGTTTGCGAATCTAATTTTGAATCTCTGTTGGGGAGTCGTGTTAGATAAAAACAAAAAACAAAACAAACAAACAAAAAACCCGAGGAGTGGGTTTCATAATTTCCTTGCGTCAACCTATATTTTGTCTTGTTAATTCCCTTATTTTCAGGTGGATCTATTATTTGTATCTTACATAGAAATCGTGCATTTTTGTCTCTGCAGCGATCACACTGAGGGAAGGAGAGAAGGGATGAAAACAGAGGAGAGCCAGCAGTCCTGTCTGCAGCAGCCTCCATCCTCCACGCCGTTTGGTGAGTGAGAGCTGACAGTGTGCTGCTGCTGAGGCCCACATGACTGAACCGTTGGGCCTCCAAATATCATCACCATGGAGCAACTGAGGCTTCGTTAACTTGTCGTGTGTGGATAGTTCAGACAACACGGGAAAAAATACAATAAAATACAGTAAAGTGTGACCGTGATGAAGTTCAGTGTAGCCGAGTTACTGCGTACTGACGGAACGTAAATGTCTGTAGAAATATTATGTGTATGTTGGGAGGAAAATATCAACATCAATAAGAACAAAAAAAATAACAACGGATTATTAAAAAGTGGTTTATTACTTCTAAACCTCCTATCAGCGCACTAATGTTCTGGGGACATTACAGGCGCACAAAAACAAAACCAAGATGACTTTAAGTTATAGGAGTGTGACTTCAACACAGCCCACAAAAGAGAATTAAAAATAACAATGAACCTGTTTAGTGGGTTACAACTCTAACACACAAAGTCGATTGAAGAATTAAATAAATTAAGGGATTTTTTTATTATGATTATTTAAAACTGGAATTAGAAAATCGATATAATCGTGCACGTGGAGTATTTTTAATTTTTCATCTGCGCTGCAGGGGTCAACATCTGCTCTGTGCCAGATGACAGTACATTTGTGGTGTATTCTTGTAAAGCTGTGCAGCGTGTGTTCCTCAGAGGACCGAGCTGCAGGGAAACATGAGAGGAGACCTGGTTTTTACTGTAGGTCGCTGTCACGCTGCAGACAGACTTGGAGCCATGACTTCACCATTGTAAGCGTCCCGGCTTCGGGCCCTTTTTCTTCTGTGTCTGTGTCCGCGCACCGACACGCTCCCTGCAGGTCCCGAGTACAGAGGAGGGGGAGAGGTGTGCGCGGGCTGCGAGTCTCCCATCGCCGACCGCTTCCTGCTGCGCGTGAACGAGCGCTCCTGGCACGAGACCTGCGTCAAGTGCGCCGTGTGTTTGAGCGCGCTCACCGGGACCTGTTACTGCAGGGACCGCCTGCTGTACTGCAAACACGACTATGAAAAGTAAGAGCAAACACACACACACACACACACATATACACACACAGTGAAGTAAGGGTCACTATGGGATGAGTTTAAGTTGGGAGAAATGTACCAGTAATTAAACCATCACCATGGAGATGCGCAGAGTTCTTGTATAATGTTGAAAAGAAAACCTTAATCTGCAGAGAACTAATAATATAAAGACGTACAATGTTGATAACACTGAAGTAAACCACGTTCATCTCAAAAGTTAATAGAAGGATTGATTTTTTTTTTATTATTATTTATTTATTTTCTTAAATATGACTGCAATTGTTTATTTCTGGTAAACCCACGAGGGTTGGGCACGCTTGTGCGCATGACAGAAAAATAAAGAAATCAATCAATCAAATAAATATATGGTGTAGAAAATGCTTTACTTCTCTGACTTTCATCCAGTCAGAACAAGCTGAAGTGATGCCACCCAACCTCCTGTTTGCCAGCCTGCAGTCACACATTCTGCTGATTTTTAAAAGTTAGGAGCTTGATAAGACACATTTTGGTTTTTTTTCCAGGTTGAGAGTCTCAGTGAAGAATAACTGTAGCTTTTGTGTCAGAATGCATCAGTATAAGATGAACTTCTATGTTCCTACTAACTAACAAAAGCACAAATCTGGAGAAATACACATTTTTAGAACACGTCTTTTTTTATATACTGACAAATTAATGCACGTGTCAAGAAAAGTGAAGTATTTACAGCGTTACAAATTACTTTTATTTAAGTGACATGGTTGAAAAGTATTAATGAATCCCGTAGCAGAGACGTATATGCAGCTGGAAAATATAGAGTTGGAAATATGCTTTAATGTTGTTTATTTCACAAAGAGGCTAAGAGTGATATTCCTTTTTTAATGGCTATTATCTGTGGCGTCTTTGTTTAACTACAGGAACATAAGACTGTCTGCTCATGATTAGAATTTCTAGAAGCATTTGAACTGACAGCCCTTGACATTGCTATCCCAGGCTTCACAGCATCTGGACACACTAACACCTGACACACTGCAGTGTAAAACAATAACACACAGTTACTACATGCTTGATGAAATGGAAAATGTTCAGTTGTAGTTGGATGATTCAACATTATGTACATTTTTGTTATGGCCATGCCACATTTTGTGCTTGTTTAGTGTGTGTTTGTTGCGGTCAGTGGTTGTGCCTGCTGTGGGAGCTCCACGGACGGACAGCGTCAGGACGAGCCTGCAGCTTGTTATCATTGTTTTGAAAAGTGTCAGACGGCATCCAGCAGCACAGACTCTCCCACTGTACCTGACATCTGGAGGAGAGAGAGGCAGAGAAACAGAGAGAGATAGAGGCTGATGAAAGCCCCATTGTGTGACGTTTATCTGGAAAAATGAGTGGGAAATGTGGAGGCAATAGCTTACCATAAATGAAGCACTGGGTTCATTTTCAGTGATGGAATGAAAAAGAGTATTTGCTCTCCCTGTGTAATGACTGTAATTGCAGATCCAAATTAATAGTCAGCAGCTCATTCACTATGGTGTTGATTTAGTCCCCTATACATTGCATATGCCTTGTTGCCTTGTTGTGTGAGTCAGTGCCAGACTTGGCACACAGTAATGCCTGTGACCTTCAGCGGATCGGCAACAATGTCTCCTTGTTTTCCCTGCGGTCTGTCCATCAGCGCCTTACGCTACACACTCCCCCCCATCTAGAGCAGGTGTGTGATAACCACGTTCAAGAATTTGGAGTGTGCATAACAATTTTCGGGGAATTCACACAATTATTGACCGATGCTAACTTTTCTTTCAACTTGAAGCTCAGTTTCATAATAGTTTCACCGATTTCAAAGAAGCAAAGGCAGATCATTTGCATGATGTCTGGACACAGAGATGAGTTTTATTTGCATGTCAGGAACTGAATTAATGAAATTAACTATAGACTGTCCAGATTAAACACATTCATAGATACATGCAAGGCAGCATCTTGCATGTTTTTCAGCTCATACTGTGATTTTTTTCTCCACATCTTCCTCTTGCAGTATCTCTGGCTTGTCCAAATATTTTTAATTCATTCTTTGCTTTGATTACATCACCCAGCACAAAGACAGGCAGACTTCTCCTCCCTGATTCCTCCTCAGTATAAACTAAAGACCACACTGTACAATACCATTTCACTGATCATGTGTCTGCATCTGCTTGGTTTCTGTATTCCTAAAGCAGAATATGTAAAATGTAAATAGATACAATTTTTTATTTTTTGGGGGGGGGGAGGATGGGGCACGTATTATTTCTATCTGATTGAGAAGAAAAAAAACAAAACATGTAGATGTCTATCAATTCAAATGAGAAAACCAATCTAATTTTGAAATGTGACCATCCCCCACCCCAATTCAGCTGGACTAAACTGCCTTTAAGGCAAAAGTTTATTCAGCATTTACATGTTTAATATTTTTGAGGATACATTGCTTCAAAAAAATGTTCTAAAATGATAACTCTGATGCTCAAAAAGCAAATTCAGACGTTTTTTTAAAAAGTGAATAACAATTCTAGGCCATATATCGAAGCACTATGCTTAACTACGTAGAATGTTCAGTTGTGACTTCAAGTTTAATTCCTGAAGCTTCAGATCATAAATAAGCAATTACCATATTGCCGCTCATTGTCGATGTAAAAAAAAAAAAAAAAAAAAAAAACTGGAGGTATGTCTTTTCAGTATTGCCAGTTTTGAGTTTCCCTGGTCTCAATCTGTTATGGAAATGAGGGGATTTAGACACAATAAACTCAAGTGCATCTTGTGGATTTTTCTTGTGGATTTATTTTTGTTTTGAAACCTTGAGAAATTCTCTGGAACTCTATCCTGTTATAGACCAGATGTTCAGCATGAGGTTTTAGAATAAGACTCCCCTACACTCCAATTACCATTAGGACTGTTTTTATGTAGGCCTGCAATGCATCACTTTTTACTGGCAAAATGGGCATAGTAATACAAAGTCGGACAGAAAAAGCAATCAGACAGAAAGGTATTTATAAGCAACATTTTTCTAAAGCTCTAAATGAGCCATGGGAGAAATTTTAGATATTCTTGACAGAATTTAAAAACAAAGCACTGCAACTGGATGTTAATGCACATTGATGTTGATTAATTTGAAATAAAAGTTGCTGTAAGATGAAATATCATTCTAAATTAGGGACAATAGATGCAAGACAATAAAAGTTGATCACTGGACCTGCAGATGGATATGTAGGAATAATGTGCACCCTCAGTATCTTACCCTTTTGACACAGTGAGTGTCTTTTGACACTGGTTTGCCATTATGGTTCCTGTCCAAACTGACCAGTGTGAAGACCAGTGTTCCCTGCTCAATAGAGCTGAGCCCAGACAGAACGGAGGGTAGTCTGGCTGTGCGGAACCTCCGAGCTCCCTTGTAAGCCCCATAAAGGCAGCATCAGCCCTGTGGAAAACAGGTCACCAGGGTGGATATTCACTAAACCTTGGGTTTAATACCTCACTCTGTGGGGTGGAGGGCACAGAGACGACATCTAAGTTTACAAACCCTCTTACTGCAGACAGAGAGAGGGAGACCCCGCCGCCACAGTTATGGAGTCATCCTCTGCCGACCAAGGAGCTATACGTGAGTCTAACACTAACGACCTGTAAGAATATCCTCTCAGGTTACAGTGCATTTATGTGAGTGAACTTCTGAGTCTGAGCATAGAAGCTGCATCTTCTACCCCTTCTGCCTTTTATACCTCCACCCCACCAATCATTTCTCTCCCTGTCTCTCTATCCGTTCCCTCGTTCATCACTGTCTGCTTTGTAATAATATTTCTCTATTCCAAACCTCATTTCCTTCTCGTTGAGATTGATAGCAGCGATGACACCAAACAGTTTATCTCCCCGTTTATCCCTTGTTTTCTCTTAATCGCCCCACCCCCCCAGTGCCTCTTTGTGTCTCAGGAGGGGAACAGGAGGAGGTGTTAGGGAGGCTGATTGGGTACAGTGCTAATTGCCCAGCTCTCTGGCTGTCCTGTGTTGACAGGTCTGACACTGGGCTGCAGGGAAATACTATTACCGAGAATTATGCAATGATATGTCAGTGGGATCTTAAACCTTTATCCCTATCAGCTACCACTTTAAGTCTGTTGTGAATCACTGATATATTACTGGTACAATAAAAATAAGTCTGAATATTAAAACTACCACTGTTTTAAAAAATGTATCAACCAAATTACAAAAAACTTTTTTTTTTTTTAACTTCCTTCGAGTGATCTGTAGCCATGAAAATATTTTTTTTTATAGTTTTTTAAAAATAAGGAGCACCGCAATGAAAATTTTTCAAACGACATCATATGTGTTTTTTTTTTTTTCAAGTCTTTAACAATGTATCATTACAGAAACCAACCCGTGACTCTATTGAGGTGCCAACAGAAATCTCTGTAATTTCTTGTCAACTAATGGAAAATTCCTGCTTATATAATGAATCAGCAAGTAAAAGGAAAGCTTGTAGTTCACTGTGGGTTTAGGTGGATCATGGATCCACTGACAGGTCAGGGCTGTATTGTCTATGTGAATCCCAGTTTGAGGCTACACGTAATACATGCATGTGGTTCTAAAACATTCAAGCACTCCTAATCCACCCAAGAGTCTTACATTAGCTACACCTGCAGCTCAACAGATGATGGTTGGAGGTGTGCCACATGAAAAGAAAGTGGGGATGGGTGAGTTTTTTTTGTGTTTTGATTCTGTGCTGTTGAACAGCAGTCAGAATTGATGGTATAAATGAAAAAAAACGTCAGGGAAGACTCTCAGCGATGGAGAAAAGGTTTAAGATGGGAAGAGGAAGGTAAAGATGAGGTGTTGGAGAGTTTTAGGGAGGGAACAGCCTGGGGGGGTAGATTTTTGTCAGG